ATCTTTAGGATACCCACCGCCACCAGACCTCTGGAGCAGAAACTGCTACTCCTAGTGTCTTATTTTGGCCAAAAGAGGATATCGGGAATGCTTCTGGAGACTGTGAATATGTTTCTGCTGGCCACACTTCGCCGACCCTTCTCTAACAGAACAGGTTGCCAGTGTTACAGCATAGAGAATCTCCCAGAAATGTATTCTTTGTGGTTAGAAATAACTGACCAAAGCCAACCAAAAAAGGCAGAACCCAGGGACTATATGTCTGGTGTGAAGATTGGAAGTAACAAGGTAACTAATATAACTGTACCTATAACTGATTGTTTTGGCTATAATACAGTAGGGTCTTGACTTGAGAACTTAATCCGTATTGGAAGGTGGTTCTCAAGTCAAAAAGTTCTCAGGTCAAATCTGCATTTCCCATAGGAATGCATTGAAAACCATTTGATCCGTATCTGCTCTTTTCTGTCCATAGAAACTAATGGGAATTGATCCAGGTTTTGTTGTTATTGTTTTGGGAGAAAGAATCTTTAGGATACCCACCGCCACCAGACCTCTGGAGCAGAAACTGCTACTCCTAGTGTCTTATTTTGGCCAAAAGAGGATATCTGGAATGCTCCTGGAGACTGTGAATATGTTTCTGCTGGCCACACTTCGCCGACCCTTCTCTAACAGAACAGGTTGCCAGTGTTACAGCATAGAGAATCTCCCAGAAATGTATTCTTTGTGGTTAGAAATAACTGACCAAAGCCAACCAAAAAAGGCAGAACCCAGGGACTATATGTTTGGAGTGAAGATTGGAAGTAACAAGGTAACTAATATAACTGTACCTATAAATGATTGTTTTGGCTATAATATGTGTAAGGAGCTAACACGTTAAAAGTGACATAAGGAATAGGAACAAAATTGCTTTATTGGTAAAATTAGTAATGTTTAGTTATTTTCAAAAATTATATTTTAAGAGCATTCTAAGATATTTTAGAGGCATTGTAACAGTGGTGTTTTTTTAAATATCCAACCTTTCGTCACATGCATTATCTACTGGAGAAGGAATGGAAGGTTTAATACTAGAGATGGGGACAAATATAAAAATGGATCAGTTTTTCTGACGAATATAGCCGATTCGTCGTATATTCAACGATCTGTATTTGTACAATTTTAAATCAGGACAAATATGGCTTGATGAATATTTCCTCGGTTTTATACGTTAATCCGTTCATATTTGTTTGGAATAAGACTGGGGAGTTCAATTCTTGCTCAGTGCTTGGGATATTGTTTTTCAAAACAGAATTGATTGTGCTGTTCATTGCTTTGTAATGATTAGGTGTACTTACTACTCTGTGACAATTATCTGATAATTGTCATTCCCCGAATGTAACAGTTGTTTTTTGCATGTACCTGTAGTTTGTTCTCCACCTCTGTTCGTGCTCTCCGAAGTGAGAACAGTTGCTGCTCTCTGGCTTGCTAGTGATCTTGTGGTTTCGCTTTTTCAGCAGCAAAGCAAAGACTTATATTTTTATTTTTCATCATCTTTCATCAATCATCATCACTTTACTGGAAATTTGGGGAGGGATTTCAAGTAGCTTAGGCTAATTCTTTGGGAGGACTTAATTTCATTTCAAATTCAAATCAAAACCTTTTTTTCCTGGAGGCTTGTGTGTGTGTGTGTGTGTGTGTGTGTAATTTGTCGATAAACAAATTAATAGTAATAGGAGGAATAATGCTATAATTTGCTGTTACATTGGTAGGTGGATGAAATGATAGAGTGTATTCTCTCTCTGTCTCTCTCTCTCTCTCTCTCTTTCTCTCTCTGTGTGTGTGTGTGTGTGTGTGTGTAGGTGTAGGTGTAGGTGGGAGGATTATTCAGTTTTCAAAAGTTCATTTTAGAGAGGCTTGTGTCTCGGAATTTGGTGGGTGGCTGGATCCATCATTCCTTTTTCTTCTAAAACTTGTTTGTGCTTTTCTTTTTGGACTTTTTTTGGCTTCTCTGCCACACTGGTTTGGGGGAAAATTTTCCTAATTACATTATACTGGGGCCTTTGATTAGGCAGGCAGGTCACATTTTAGTAAAAGAATTATACCACCATCATTCTAAAAATAAAATTTACACACACTCTCTGACCCTTCCTCAATTTCCATTGCTTTATTTGTTTAGTTGGTTTGTTAGGAAGGCAGTAGAAAATGAAGGGATTTCTTCAGGGGCAATCCAAGGGAAAGAAGGCTGTGAAGCTATGCAAGCTAGGTAGCAGCACTGTCATCATGACCACCACATGCACAACCACTTCTACAATAACCACTGCCACTGTCCTTCCTCCGGTGGCCTTGCAGGCAGGCATGGAACCAACGCTTCCAGAGGTGCCAAAAGAATTGCTGCTGCTCTTCCTAGAGGAATCTGAGGAGTTATTGGTTTCTGAAGTTTCCCAGTCTGATTTGGAACCAGTAACGGCAGGGCAGGCTTCACAGCTCCCCCCATCCCCAGAGTCATCTGTTCCCTCCTCCCAGATCAGCAGCACCCCTGGGACACAAGAGTTCTTCTCAGGCCAGCAGTCAGGGGCAGGCAGTGGGTCCTTGTTTGGGGAAACATGGCAGAGGGGCCATGTGGGATCATTTCATGGTGCTCTACAACTGGCATGCTGCAATACCTGCCTTGTGTTGGTCCAGAGGGTGTCAGACCCCGGGAATCTGTCCTCCACTGCCCTCTACCAACATCTGGAGGGGCACCATACCAACATCTGGAGGGGCACCACCCAAGACCTCTGTCCATGGAAGGCACTTCATCCATGCGTCTGGGAGAGGGAAAAGAACAGCTCCAGGGGAGGCAGGAGGAGGTGCTTTCTTTCAAAAGGGCAGCCACAGGGGTTTCTGGGGCCGGGAGCATGAAGCAGGCCACGCTCCATGAAGTGGCACCCATTGGGTCTGCCATGACACTCAGCCGGTGGTCAAAGGGCAAGGCACATCAGGCGGCCATTTGTCTTGTTGCAGAGATGATTGCCCTGCTTGGACTTCCACTGTCAATCATGGAATCCCAAGCCTTCCAGCGGTTGGTGCAGTTTTTTTGTCCCCTCAGCTCCACCAGTCAGATCCCCTCCATTACTGGGATAGGAAACTAGTCTTATGGCTGGAGTTGTCCAATGCAGCCATGGACCTCCTTTCCATCCCCCCCCACCAGCATCCAGAGCAAACACATGTTTTCCCATCTCAGAGACATACAGTGGACCCTTGACTTACAGACGGCTTAACTTACAGACTTTTTGAGTTACAGACTTCTCTGGCCCCAAAATTTAGGTTTGACTTGCAGACTGAGATGTGACTTCCAGACCAGAAAAAACCCAAAATGGAACAAAAACGGCCTGTTACGGGATTAATCGGTTTTCAGTGCACTGTAGGTCAATGGAGACTTGACTTACAGACTTTTTGACTTGAGAACCGCCTTCCAATACGGATTAAGTTCTGAAGTCAAGACCCCACTGTACTCCGACCACAGTGCTCGCATTTAGATCCCGTTACTGTAGAGAGACTGTAGTTCATCAAGGTGAACCTTCCCTTGCTGGGCTCCCTCTCAATGAACCCAAAGAGGTAGGTTTCCAAAGACAGTCTCTCCCTTAACACATCGCCTGCCTGCCTGCGCCCGCCTGCCTACCCACTTGCCCACCCTCCAGTCCTCCTGAAAAAAAAAGACCTGCCTACTTCCTGCCAGCCTGTATATCTGCCCCTCTGTCAGAACTCCAGCTGCCTCCTCAGGCCAAGTTCCAACCAAGTTGTACCTGCCGGCCTGCCTGCTGGATCATGTCAGACCAGCAGGCCGAGAACTGTTGAACTCCTGTCTGTCCATAGGATTTGCTGTGGGTGTAAAACAGATGAATTCACATTCTTTTACTGACCACATGATACAAAGGCCAATTGGAATGAGTCCAGCTGTTTCTGCTTCTGACACAGAGTGCTGTCCTCTGAAGATGCCAGCCACATAGACTGGCGAAACGTTAGGAAGAACAACCTTCAGAACACGGCCAAACAGCCCAAAAAAACCCACAACAACTGGTTTTTCTTTTCTTTCTTTGCTGCTGAGGGCTTCTCCTTCTTTCAGTCTGGTACAGTTCAAACAGACTTTCCACCATGTTATCAGTTGCTTCATTCTCCAAAAGGATGGGGGCATGATTTCTGGTGACATACTAAGCTGAGTGTGATGTTTTGGACTTCAGGAACACTCGACCCCATGATCTTTCTCCCTAGTCACCCTGAAATATATATTTTTTAAAAAAATTAAATAGAACTAATGAATTTAGCACTAGATCAACTTATCACTACATTGATGTACTAGTTTAGCATTAGATCACCTCTGCACAGACAAAAATGAAAATTAAAAAAGCAATATGAAATAGAAAGAATTCTGACAAACTACAATAGACTATTATGGAGATCTATGGAGTGTGTGGGTGTACATGTGTATGTACATTATGGAGAACTTTGGGAAACTCTCCCTTTTCCCTGGTGCTGTACAACACAACAGCCTACTGACTTTACAGTGAACCAGAAAAGGAGAGCCAGGGATCAGCAGAGGGCAGGATCAGAGGAAGGGGGCTGTGGGCTTTGGTGTGGATCATACCACATCAGACTGAGAACCATTGTGGACACTGGCACAAAACAATCTGTAGTCTCTGTGTAATTACCTGTCCAAACAGAAGCATAAAATAGGCTGTAAATCAAGCCAGGGCAAAGCTGAATTGCTCTGATTTGGTTTGTCAGTGTAGTTGTAGCCTAAGTCTTCCTTTATTGATTCATTCTATTTCAGTTTAGATCTTCCTCATTCATACTACATTCTCTCTCTTTTTTAACATAAAATGCTATGTAAGCTGAAATACATTTGACAAAACCACTGTAGTTCTGGTGTTTTTACAAAGTTGTGGACTTGTAAGTCACAACTTTTTTTTTCCCCCTGCCTTGTTTTGTTATACCTGCATTTGCTTCACTGATGTGCAAGAACATTTATTTTTCATTTTCTCTTTCAGAGTCTGGAGAAAAACTACATCAGCAGGCAATTCATCAGGTATTTTAACCATTTTATATATATATTTTATTGCATAGTTTGTGAGATGTACAAATGTTTAGGAAGAAGTCCACTCATAAATATATAGGCAGATATTTGTTTATTTATCCACATCACTGACCTCATAAATAAAGAATACAAATATGAAATAACCCTCTCTAAAAAGCAAGGAGGAGGCGGGGAGGAGGAGAAGAAGGAGAGGAAGAAGAAGAAAACCTGGAAAAAAATAACATTGAGAATGAAAGCAAGTCATGCAGAAGCAATCCAAATCCAGCAATCTGTCTAATCCAAAGAAGAGACCAGGAGGGATCAAACAGTAGACCAGAAGGGGCCAAACTTAAGGAAGGAAGGATCAGCAGAGGTGGGACCAGAGGAAGAATGGAAAGAAGGGGCTATGGGCTGGAATGCGAATTGGATCACGTCCAATGTGAACAGCGAACCCCCGAATCAATCCACAGCCCTTGTGACTGCGATTTCAAATGTAATATAAGTGGCCAATCAAACCCAGTGTATTCTTTTGTCTTGTGGCTGCCAGTGAATTTGGAGGATTACAACATCACTACAACTCAAAGAGTCCTTTATTTTCAAATTTATTTTTGTGTAGCGTTTCCCTAATAGATCCGTCCCCATCCTGGCTAGCTTTGATTTACAGTTAAGATCCAGAAGTGAATTATTTTAGGGCAATCACCTACATTTGGAGGTATTTTTAGCTACCCAAAGCCTAACTATTACAGAATTCTTTGATCCATCCCTACCACTACTTGGAACCATCTTTAATGTTCTCTCTAGAGAAAAACTGAGCTATCAAGATCATGAAGCAAGGTAATGACAAACAAACAAACAAACAAACAGAATGTTTTGCATAATGTAACTTTTGCCTGACAACATCCTTCCCTTTTTGGATCCTTCCCTCGTTTTGCTCCATGTCTGATGAGTGCTGCCTCCTTCCTGACTGATGAATTATTTCAGGGAGCTGGGAGGGCAGCAGTTTCAAGGCACTCCTGCTGTGTTTGTCAGTTGAACCTGGGGAGAGCTACCTGAGGCGCTGGCAAGAAACCCAGCTGATGTTGTTCCAGCCAAGAAAGAAAGTCACTCCTGTCATAGTGGCTCAGCATCTCCTGCTGTAAGTGCATGCTCTCCTTCTCAGGTAACTGCATTAGTGATCCCCTGGTCACTTTCTGTTACCTCTCCTCAATATCCTTAGGGATTACTTTGAGCTTTGGTCAGGGGTCCTAGGTGACTTGTTTGTTTAAATCAGTTTCTGGACAATAACCGTCTCCTGGATTTTTGTGCCTTCTTTCTCTTTTGTTCTGAATTGTTCTGCTTAAAACACAGTACAGTGTGATGTTATCACATCAGATTGTATCATATCATATTTGATATGTTTGCTGCACCCCCAGCTTATTTCAGATTCTTTTTTCTTGAAACATTGTCAATAACTGCATTAAAAGATTTCCTCTCTATCCCCAGGTTCAGCTCTCTCTGTGTGTTTTTTTAAAAATTTCCAGTCTCTAATCTATGAATATTCAACAAGCCAAAAGTACAATTGCTGCCACAGAAGCCTTCTGGCCACTGATAGGTTCCAGCGTTTGGTTTAGGATTTTGTTTCGGCTGATGTTTGTATTCACTGGCCCAGGCCAAGCCCTAGACAGTTCTCCCTATAAAACTACATAAATTAAAAGCATTCTAAAACAAAAGCACCATGTACATTAGGGGGTAAGATCCAAAATTGCCCTTCTATGTAAGCTGTCCTCCAGTGATGAAATACTGTGAAATACTGCACACTGCAATGTTGAATATCAAAAGTGAAACTCAGTGCATACATGTGTTTGTCCTCAGGCAAGCAAAACAACAATAAGATATTATTGTTGTTCTGATGTGCTGTCAGTGTCATTTAAATCAGTGGTCCCCAACCTTTTTAACCTCATGGACCGGTTGGGTAAGGTGTGTGGAAAGAAGCAGGTGCTCTCGTGCGGGCACGTGCATACTCATGCACATCCGCAAAGGAGTGGGAGAGTGCTCGTGCAGGCATGCACACTCGTGTGCATGTGCAAAGGGGGGCGCTCAGGGGCACTCATGTGCATGCACAAAGGGGCGGGGGAGTACTCGCGTGGGCACAGGCATGCATGTGCAAAGGAACTGTGCAGGGGGGAGTGCGGGCAGGTGGGAGGTCTGTCTCTGCGGCCTGATTCAGCTCAGGCCACGGACTGGCACCACCTGGCACCGGGGGTTGGGGACCTCTGATTTAAATTATCATTCATAGAGTTGCCATAAGTTGGAAGTACTGTAATATGAGATCACATAAAATCAGGTAAGAGTGACCTCCAAAATGTCCTGTCCTTAATAGCTCTGCTCAACTCTTGTAAACTCAAGGCTGTAGCTTCCTTTATTGAGAACACCCATCTCATATTTGGTCTTCATCTTATCCTGCTGCCTTCACGGATCCCCAGCATTATTATATTTTTCACCAAATCTTGTCTTCTTGTCCAAATGTATCCAAAGTAGGACAGCCTCAGTATCATTACGTTTGGTTATAGACAGACTTCAGGCTAGATTTGATCTAGCACCTACTTGTTTCTCTCTTTGTCCATGGTGTTTGAAAAGCTTTATTTCACTACCACGTTTTGAACAAATTTATTTATTTATTTA